GAAGTTTATGTTAATGTCATCGTGGTGAAGAGCTTAAAGGCAGAGAATCACCTAGCCGACCTTGATGAAACATTCAATAACCTTAGGAAGAACAGAATGCGGTTGAATCCAGCAAAGTGCAACTTCGACGTAGAATCTAGGAAATTTCTAGGATTCATGGTTTCCCGGAGGGGGATTGAGGTTAACCTAGAAAAGATCAAAGCAATAGTTGAGATGGAACCACCGAAGTCGGTGAAAGATATACAGAGATTAACAGGAAGGGTGGCAGCTTTTCACAGATTCATTTTGAAGTTAGCAGATAAGTGCCTGCCATTCTTCAAGATCATGAGGTCAGCAGCCTAGAAGGATGAATCTGGCAAACAGAAGAAGTTTGAATGGAACTAAGAATGCCAAGCTGCATTCGATGAGCTGAAGTCTTATCTTAGTTCCCCACCTCTACTGACAAAGGATATGGATGGAGAAATTCTCTATTTATACCTTGGTATTACTGATGAAGCAATCAGTTCAGTGCTGGTGAGAGAAGAAGCCAAACAGCAGAAACTAATCTATTATATCAGCAGCGTGCTACACGGCGCAGAACTGAGGTATCCTATTGCTAAGAAAGCAGTATTAGCAATTGTCACTTCAGCTAGAAAGCTGAGGCCATATTTCCAATCACATCCAATTATCGTCATCACAGACCAACCTCTTCGACAGATCCTGTAGAAGCCAGAGTACTCAGGAAGGTTAATTAAGTGAGTAGTAGAACTGGGGGAATTCGAGATAACATTTCAGCAGAGGTTTGCGATTCGAGCTCAAGCACTGATGGATTTCATCGTGGAATGCACCCCATGTCACTCAATCCCTAACCCCAAGCCAAGCGATTGGACCTTATATGTTGATGGAGCATCTAGCAGTAAGGGTTTAGGAGCTGGTGCTTTCTTAATTGGCCCAGATGGATACCAAAGTGAGCATTCTCTAAATTTTAACTTTGATGCAACAAACAACATGGCTGAGTATGAAGATCTGCTACTTGGTTTGCAACTTGCATTGGAGTTGAAAGCCATGGTGATACAAGTATACAGTGACTCGCAGCTTGTGGTTAATCAAGTCAACTCAATCTGCGAAGTTGTTGATCTTGTGATGATGAAGTACGTAGTCCTAATGGCTGAGCTGAAGTGCAAATTTCCAGAAATTTTGTTTAAACAAAATTCCCCAAATTGAGAATGAACATGCATATTCACTTTCTAAGTTTGCTTCTGATAGCTCTTTAAACTCCAGATCAGTTTTTGTGGAAGTTTTAGATGAACTAAGCTTCATGAAGCCACGAATGATGGAAATCAGCACAGACTCGGATACACTAAGCTAGACAGATCCAATTATCTCCTTTTTATAAGACAGGTCAATGCCTGAAGACAAGCAAGAGGTAATGAGGTTGAGGAAGAAAGCGTCTCGATATACACTCATCGATGGGGTTCTCTATAAGAGATCTTTCTCACTCTCTTTCGTACAATGCTTAAATCCTTATGAAGTTGAGTACGCACTTCAGGAGGTGCATGAAGGTGTCTGTGGAAGCCACATCAACACTAGAACCCTTGCTCATAAAGTCCTCAGACAAGGATATTACTGGCCGAATATGTATAAAGATGCTACTCACTTTGTTCAGAGATGCCCGAAGTGCCAATTTTTCACACATTTAACTCACCAACCGGTAGAAGAGCTCACCAACTTAGTAGCACCGTGGCCATTTACTCAGTGGGGACTTGATCTTTTGGGCCCATTCATGAAAGGGGTTAGGGGTGTAACCCATATGATCGTGGGTGTTGACTATTTTACAAAATGGGTTGAAGCTCGGCCATTATCCAATTTTACTTCCAGAAAGGTTGAAGACTTTGTTTTCGATTCAATCATCTATAGATATGGAATCCCAAATCAGATCACAACTGATAATGGTACTCAGTTTAACTGCTCTTTATTTAGAGAATTCTGCTCCAGTTATGGAATCAAACTACAATTTACCTCTGTATGCCATCTGGAATCCAATGGTATGGTTGAATCTGTCAATAAAGCTATTCTCGAGGGAATAAAGCCGAGGTTGGGGCAACACAAGGCTAGGTGGGTAGACGAGCTCAACAACGTCATATGGGCATCTAGAACAACGAGCCGAACTGCCACAGGTACCATTTCCAACCCAAGTTAATTTCATTCTATTTTACTTCCTCACCTGCTGCTTTACCCTAGAACAAATATGCACAACACATAAAGCATATACTAAAAATTTTAACTTAATGAAATAGGTGAAACACCCCACCACTTGGCCTTTGGTACCGAAGCAGTCATTCCTATTGAAATAAGAGTCCCAAGTTTTAGGGTAACCCATTTTGATGAAGGACGAAATGGACAATTGCTTCGAGAAAACCTTGATCTGCTTGCCGAAGTCAAAGAAGAAGCGCAACTTCGAACTCTAGTATACAAGCAGAAATTAGCCAACTTCTACAACAAACGAGTTCGCTCTCGAACATTCAAAGTAGGAGACCTTGTTCTCAGAAAGGTTGGCCTAATAGGGTTTGAAACTCGTTTTGGCAAACTGGCCCCAAACTGGGAAGGCCCTTACACAGTGGCCAAAGTGCCACATCCTAGTGCCCACATCCTCCAAGACGCTGAAGGGAAGCAAATTCCTAGAGTCTGGAATGTCAATAACTTGAAGAAATTTTACCCTTAATAAATTTCTTTCAAGTGATCTTCATCTTATTCTTCCTTATAATTATTCCTTTTTCATTTTTGAGATTCATTTCATCTATTATCTTGTATATTCGAGGTCAATCTGTCTGGAATCTATTCCTTGGACTACACTTTTATTAATGAATCTCACTTCACATTTGAAGTGATTTCTTCCTCTTAACTCATGTCTGAAGTTATTTACTTCTTCTCAGTTCATATCCAAAGTGATTTACTTTATCTAAATCTTTACGTTAATACAAAATAATTAAAAGCACAAAATAAATAACCACGCTAATTTTAAAAAAATTTTCTTTAAATTAATCAAAAAATCTGTACACTAATCATCGTTCAAAACCTAAATACATAAATCAAAAAAATAAAAAATCCCTAAACTATTCCGCTGGATGAGATGGCTGGGGTGGCTCCTGCTCTGTTGGAAAAGGTGGCTGCTCTTCTTCAGAGGGAACTAGATGCACCTCCATAGGAGGAGATGGCTGACTTTCCTCAACTTCAACCCCTTTTGCTTCTCTTTCCTCTTCCTCCACTGCCACGAACTCGAAGTCAAAGTTAGGAGGAAAAACGGTGCGTCTTTCTTCATCATGATCCCACCTCAGGTTAACCTGAGGTCGGAAATCTATTGACATGCTTTCGCTTGTTCTCCTCCACCCCTTCCTCTTGTTTGTCGAAGGTGATTTTGGTAATATCCACTTCAGGATACTTAGTTTTAACCTTCTTTTTGCAATCAATGAAGGCGAGGATTGTAGTCGGTAGCCGGTAGAGATTGACGATGTTCTCAAACAAGCTGGAGTTGATAAAGTTGCTGATATGCTCTTTCATCCCGTTGTGGACCAACAGTTGGACATTCTTTTTGAGTTCCACTTCGGATTCTCTCATCCTTCTTATTTCCTCCTCTTGTGCTTCATTCTCTTCTTCGCACATTCTCCTTTTCTTCTCTTCGAATGAGAGAATTGTCTTCAGTGTGTCTCTCTCCTCTTGTAAGCTTGTCACCGTTGGTACCACGATATCCAGTTCCCTCTTCATTTCCCCGTTCTTCTTCAACAGCTCATCCCTTTCCTTCTGTAGGATGTTGCGCTCCTTCATGAGCTCCATGAATTCTTAGGCTAGCACGTTAACCCAAGTTGTAGTCTGCCACGCCAATACAAATCAATAAAAAAAAAAAAAAAAAAAACAACAACAACAAACGTAGCATGCAACAATTATAATCATTAAGCTTACCTCCAAAGCATGCCTCACAACTGAGGTCCCTCCATGTACCAAGGCTTCCTCCCTCGCTTTACGGCGATCCACCTCAGGCACATAGGTGTTGATGAAATTCTTCACCGTGGAGAAGTTATTGTTCCCAAAAATGCTGCTTTGGAGAGAAGGTGAGGGAACAAACGCTTTACCCTTGCCAGGGCCAAGGACCTCGGTCTCTCTAAGGTCCGGATCAAGCTCAACAGGCGCAGGCCGAGGTACGAATTCCACTACCTCGTCCCCCCTGACCTCATCCTCCACTCTCCTCTTTTTCTTTTGAGCTTGATCCACTTCATCCCTCTTCCTTTTGGACCTTAGCTCCACCTCCTCTGCAGCTCGGGCTTCTGTACTTGACATTTGCCCTTTCTCCGTGTTACCATCTCCTTTCCCACTTGCAGCTTTCTCCAAAGTCTTAGACTTCTTCCTCGGCTTCTTGGGAATAGCCACCCTAGCAGCACCCAGAAGCTTGTCCATTTCAGCTGCAAAACAACAATTCCATTAAAATCCACAAATCAAAACTAAACTCTTACACACATCACACAAGATACCAACACACATTCCCTCATTGAGTTCGACCCATAAAGCTTAGCTGCTTCTATAACATCCGAGCTAGTGAGAGACATAATGTCTATTATGTCACCCTCCTTTCTCACCAGCTTCTCTACTTCTTCCTCCTCATCACTATTTAAACTATACTTATTTTGATTGGCCTTTTTAGCCTTCCAAGTAGACAAAAACTCTACTTCCCCATCTCCCACTCGGTGTCATCAACAAAGAAAAATTTTTCCTTCCATCCCTTAATGGAGGAAGGCCCTACACTAAACTGGTTTCTCTTCTCTTTGTTGGACGATCGAGGTGTAAAGTAATACCACCCTTTCTCCTTCCTACTCCTAGCCTTCAGCACAAAAAAGTGCTTAAACATATTTACTGTGGGCACCCTAACCCCCCTAGCCCGGCAATATACTATAAACCCAATTATTACTCTCACTGCATTGGGAGATAATTGGGTCAAACCTACACTATACTCCAATAATAGCCACACCAACAAATTAGGCAAAGGAAACCTAAGCCTTGCTGCTAAATAATGGGCATACACTGGCATCCAGTGATCCTAGGGTGCAGAGCATGCCCTTTCTTTCACTCCAGTAGGCCTAATTAACACTCTAGAAGAGATCTCGTAGGTCTCTACGAGATAACTCAGGCTATCCCTACTCTTGAGCTCAGACTCATACCCCTTTACCTCAGACACAATGTCTGCCCCACTATCGTAAAACTTATCACTCCTATCTCCCACTTCCAATATATTGACAGGCACCTCTTCTGCCCCAACCTCAACAACTTCATTTCTACCTACCCTCCCTCTGTACACTCAGACCCAGACGACTCACCCTCAACACTTACATCACTATACTCCAGCATCCTTACTTCCTCGCTCCCTCCAATGCTCAATGTTTCCTCAGAAGACATCTCCTTAGTCTCGTAACTTTCACTGCACGGAGTAAGGGGAGGGATGTAGTCAGGATCTTCAAAAAACTCTAACTCACACTCAATATCACTCTCACTCCTAACCCAAACCTTTTTAAGAGGGCTTAAATCTAAATCAGGAAAGGTGAGAGGAGAATAAAATTCACCACTAGAACTTGAATCACAAAAGTTCATAAGTTACTTGATTTCAATAGTGTAAAACGAGTTTTGAATTTGAAAATGTGTAACACAAATGCTATAGCAATTTTGGTAGCTCTTCGGTAGCAAATACGAAGAAAGTAAAACTCTTTTTACAAAAGTATAGCTAAATATACCAAAGCAAATATATGCCTCAACGGCTTTGATTAATTTCATCTAATAGTCACAGTTACACTGTTTCGAATTCGACGATTAATCCCTTATGGAAATCTCTTGAATTCGACGATTCGTTTTCCATCCCGTCTGCTTAACTATAACAGTTACTTTTTTACAACCTGTATTAATTATGCACATCTTTCAACAAACAGCTGTCATGCCACGCACTAACTCTACATCAGACTTTTTTAACGAGCCCCACTAAGCTCAGTTCAGTACTTCTGTTTCTTTTCATAATAAAATTTTTCAACTTTACAAGTGTTTCACCTTTGCTCCGACCGTAATGACTACGGTCATCACTTTTTACCACGGCTCCGGTCGCAATGACTTCAATCATCACTTGTTACCTTGCCTACGGCTGTAATGACTACGGTCACCACTTTTTACCTTGGCTTCGGCCACAATGACTCCGGTCATCACTTGTTACCTTGACTCTGGCCACAATGACGGTTACACCTGTTTCTTTGGCTCCGGCCATAGTGACTCCGCGTCACATATTTTACCTCAACTCTAGCCATTGTGACCCCATGTCACATATTCTGCTTTGGCTCCAACTATAGTGACCCAGTGTCACACATGTTACTTCAGCTCCAGCCATGGTAACCCCGTACCACATTTTTTACTCTAGTTACGGATATACATATATTTGAATTACCAATTTTCATTTTTAACTATGACTCTAATAACTCAACCATAATATTTTGTCATTCCACTTTTCACTTGATTCTACACTACTCCTATCACTTTACACAATATCATTCATAAGTGAATGACTTTGAGGGGGGAATAGTGCAAGGATATGTCTGAGGTCCCTAACCTCAGACGTACTGATGCAAGTCCTTAATAACTGAGGTGAAGTTAAATCCAACCCTTCTCGGTCAAATGGCTGCATGATAAATACAGTGGACACACCCACACCGGATTTACCACATACAATTTCCCAGTTCCGAAATTATTGCCTGAAAGGACACATCACACTCCGATTATCTTGTTAAGCAAGCCATGTGGACACCTTACTAAGGCCTATAAATACCCCCTAGGTGCCACCTCAAAAAGGTAATTGAAACCGACCTAAAGCTCCTCTTTAATTATTCTAAAAAGGTAGATCCAATTATTGCTGACTTAAGCATTGGAGTGTCTACCCCAAGGACCCACCTTGGGGCTTTGGAGGTTCATCTGAAGTGAAGACGCGGACTGAAGAAGGGCTTCTGGTTTGGTGCAATTACATGATCGGAGAAAGAAGAAGAAAGTGGTTGCCGGCTGCATAGGGAAGAAAAAGGATATTCTGGAGATGAGGAAGAAAGCCGAGAGTGAGGGTCCTTTTAAGAAGAAGAAGGTTCAAGACTCATCCCCCTTCTTTTTTTCAGTTTTGGGTTAAATGGGTTTTGGGTTTTGGATTTTTGGATTTAGGTTTTGAGTAATTATGGGTTTGGGTAAATTGTGGGTTTTTTGGTTTAGGTCTTTGGGTTTTGGGTTTGACTTAAACTTTAATGCATCTCTTCCTTCAACTTTTCATTTCTTCAATTGAGTCCCCTCATCTTAATTTCCTTCATTTTCCTCTTCCAATTTTCTTCGCAAAATCCCCTTTTTGCTCATAGACCTAACAATGAAAATAAAGACAAAACATATTAGTTAAAATAAAAACTAAAATAAAATAAAATTCTATTAAAAATTTGAGTTATGGCAAGGATCATTGGAACCGTCCGAACCGTTGCTTTGCAAAAAAGAATAGCTTTCATGCACTAAGTAAAATATTCAATGGCCATCAATATCTATATACAACCCTCAAATGCGGACAGACAAAGTTGATAAGATCCAAACCCTAAATATGAAAAGGCCAACGAGTTTTCATATCTTGCAACAAATTAAGATGAGAATGAAAAAGGCTAGCATGAACTTGGCAAGTCTGACATCGCTAGACGAAATCTACAGCATCTTGTTTCAGACTTGGCCAGTAATAACTGTGAGCCAAGAGTTGATCATACAGCTTTCTCCATCCTTGATGTTCATCACAGTCCTCTACATGTATCTCAACCATAACCTTCTGAGACTCTGTCAAGGATAGGTAGTATAGTGGTTCGCTAATGAAGTTGGTGCGAAATAGAACTCCATCATCCATGAAAAATTTTGACAAAGATATTTTTAAGTTGTGCACATTCTTTGGAGACTTTGGCCATATTCCCTTAGTGAAATACTTTATGTAAGGATGGCACCAATCTTGAACACCATCAATAGTGAAGCATTCCTCACCTTGATAATAAGTCTGCTGACAAGATATACATTATTGTTGGAATTTAGTGGCTTGGCATACCATGTATAGCAATAATACCCTACTCATTGAATCCAACAGTATAGGCTTACACGATTATCTTAGCCACATGTGCAATTATGAATTTCTCTAAGTTTGTGATAAGCATCTTTATCATTGATGCACCTAGCAATGACACTGCTAAGGAGGCAATAATATAGCTCACGAGAAATGATAACATAGTTGGATAAATCCTTTAAAGGCACATCAATTCTTGTTGTAGGAAAGCATTATGAATCTCATGTCGCCAGTTGGCATGGTTCGGCAGCTCAAGTAGAATAGATTCATAGCCATGAAAGATTGGGCACTCTTTTTAGATGATATGGAAACTGAGAGAATTTTCGGTCATAAGCACCCTCAAAGCAATTGTGGCTAAGGCATCAACCAATCTGTTCTCTAACTATGATATTTGCTCATATCTAAGGCTGATAAAAGACTTTTCCTAGATTTGGCTGAAAAAGCGATATGGTGTAAGATGTTCTTCTCGAACAACGAAGGTACCTTGAATATGGCCAAGAATCAAACCTGAATCGCCAATGCTTTTCAGGCACTGTACATCAGCCTCTCTAGTTGTGATAAGACCAGTAAGATAAGCTTCGTACTCAACCATGTTGTTTTTGCATGGAAAATCAAGCTTAAATGAAAATGCCATATCATGGCTTTTGTCATCTTTGAGAACAATGCCAACCCCAACCCCTTCAGCCATGGAAGACCCATCAACATACAATGTCCATTCTTATTCAATTTCTTACGTGGAAGAAAACTCACCACCTGGGACTTTGTTAGAAATAGGATGCTTAACACAATAAAAAAATTCAGACAATAAGTCTACAATAGCTTGTCCCTTGATAGTGGTATGATTTATGCATGAAATATCATATGAGACAATTGAAGAAGCCAATTAGTAAGATGACCAGTAAGCATAGGTTGAGTTAGAAGATACCGAATGGGCTGAGACTTGGTGATGAGTTGTACTTTGTGAGCCAAGAAATAATGTCTAAGGCGTTGAGAGACATAAATTAATGCAACACAAAATTTTTAAACAAGAAGGTACCTTGACTTAACACCTTTAAGATTTCAGCTGATATAATAAACAAGTTGTTCTTTGTCTTCTTGATCATCTTGGACAACTAGAGCACTCGCAACCTTGTTAGAAGTGGACAGATACAATTTAAGTGGCCTGCCTTGGACAAGGATAGATATAGTTGGCAATTTGAACATAAGATCTTGCAAATGTAAAATGGCATGTTGATGTTCCTTTGTCTATGCAAAGGCGACCCTTTTCTTCAATAAAGGGCTAAATACGAATAGAATTTCCGCTAGTGAAGGGATGAATCTATGGATATATGAAACTTTGCCGATGAAGTTCTGCAATTGCTTGAGATTTGTAGGAGATTACATGGTTTAGATAGCCTCAGACTTGGTTGGATCCACACCGATGGCATGTTTGTTCATAAGAAAGCTCAAAAACTTTCCAACAGAGGCACCAAATGCGCACTTCATTGGGTTCATTTTTAGCTTGTACAGGTTGCATCTATTGAAGACTTTTCTTAACACATCAAAGTGGCCCAACCTTGTTTAGGACTTCACCACAATATCATCAATATAAATCTCCATATAAATGTGGATGAAATCATGTAAAATAGCCACCATGACTCTTTAGTAAGTAACCCCAACATTTTTAAATCCAAAAGGAATAACAACATAATAAAAGTTATCGATAAGAGTGCGACAGGCAGTTTTCTGCACATTGTTGGGGCACATGCTGTCTTGATTGTATTCGCTATTGCCATCTATGAGAGAATACAACTTGCAACCAATGGTGCTGTCCATAAGAACATCCATGTTCAAAACAAAGAATTCATCCTCTAAGCATGTCTTGTTGAGATCATGAAAGTCAACACCACTTGATTTGCCCATTTTTCTTTCAAACTGGTACAATGTTGGCCAGCCATGTAGGCTTCTTGGTTGGCTTGATAAGTAGCCAAAAGCTTTTCAACTTTTTCCTTAATTTTGATAGTAACTTTGGGATGGAAGGCAATTTAGTTGCACAACTAGCTTTGCTTTGGGATCAACATATAGAGAGTATGCCACCAAGACTAGATCAAGCCTTGTCATCTCATCACAATTCTGAGCAAAGGCATCTTTGTATTCTCAAAGCAAGTTGATCATCTTGGCCCTTTCGTCAATGGAGAGAATAGTGCTAATACATACATATTTGGGATTTGATGCATCATCCCCAAGATCAATAGCTTCAAGGGACTCTAAAGAAGTAAGTGCCAATTGAGCTTTAAGGAGAGTTGGCAGCTTGTCTGGTGAAGTTAGATAATTAACTTTGTCA